AAGAAGTCATCAGTGAGGAATTTGGATTAACACCTGATAAATAATGTTCATTTGATAGTGAACTGAAATAGTGCATTTGAAGGACCATCTCTGAGAAGCCTTATGTCATTAAAAAACAAAATTTTCCTTTGGTAACTAGCAAGTGAATCACTTCAAATATGCTTCTCTCTTTGGGATTCAGGGACATCCTATAACCTCTCTTCGTTCCCTAAATCTAGACTTATAAACTCCCCCCACATGGAAATGAGGTAGAGAAGATAGTACAGATTAGGCATAGAAAGATGAATTTTTTGTAGGCAGATGTTAGAAAGCATTCAGATATTTCATCTGCAGGCTGAATGGCCCTGCAGGCTGGAATGTAAATTCAGTGTGGACTCAAATGCACCCCATCCCCTCACCTCACCAAAGAAAAACTCCATCAAGTTGGTACCTGACCTGGGAATCAAAAGATCACAAAAATGATAATAAGACCACCCCTCCACCCATCAGAGGCAAAGAGATGTCAGTCTCTTCTGGATGGCTACCTGGGCTCCACACTCCTTAGCATATTGATAATTGTGAAGGTATATCAGGCCTATTGTAAAAAGCAAAAAGTGCAATTTCTCTAGCTCATGCCCGCTCTGGCATGTCTCTCTGTCTTTCCCCTTTTTTTCTCTAATAAATTTTGCTTTAAAATTTTACTGGCTACTTTAAAATTTGTCTTAGGGCTGAGCCAAAGAATCCATGAGTTTTGCGCTGCTCCCCACCCAGCATAATCTTTTCTTTTTCTATTTTTTTTTTTTTTTGTTAAGTTTTAAAGCAAAGTTTATTAGAGAAAGAAGAGAGGAACGATAGAGAGACATGTCAAGGCTGACATGGGTAAGAGAAGCCTGACTCTGTCTGCACTAAATTCACATTCCACCCTGCAGGGCCATTCAGCCTGCTGACAGGGTTTCTGGAAACTTTCTAAAACCTACCTACAAGAAATGTATCTATCTATACCTAACCTGTACTAGCTAGCCTGCCTCAGAAAGAAAGTTACAATCTGGGCAGGTATACATGAGAGCTTCACTCCCTCTACAATGCTTCTCAGGGAAGAACGAGGCCAGTTAATACTACTGAGTTTTCAGTTTCTTAATGAAGTTACTTTCCTAACTCTACCTCCCCGATGTTAACCTGGGGTCTCATTGCTCCCAGAAGTCTCCCAAGAACCCTTCCTCCCTGACACTTGCTGAGAAGTGAGCAGCAGGCCAAAGAAAAAGTCATCTTCATAAAAAAAAAAAAAACAGCCATTTGCAGCAATTTTATCTGCAAAGATTTCCTGCTGTGGCTAAATGGTGTGGCTGCTTGGTTTGTTATTTAAAAGAGTGACCCTAGTGAGACCAGAGGTCTGAAGGAGGGGAGAGGAGAGAAGAGTCTGATTTCAGACCAGGATAAACAGGAGGAGCTTGTCGGAATATGCCTAATTGAATTTCACTACTGGGTTTTTTGTTTTTGTTTTTGTTTTTAGAAAGTAGGATTTATTGAGAGGACAGAAAAACAAAGCTCCCACAGTGGGAGGGGGCCTGATGGGGTTGCCCTCCACTACTGTTTCTGAGAGTGCCTGGTGGTAACACCTCAGACTCTCAGGACTAACTCTTTACAATCCCCATCAGTTGACCCCAATCCTTTCTGAATCTTGACAGAAAAAAACACATTAAAATATTCTCAAGGAAGGCAGGGACCAGAGTCAAGAACCTGAAGCTGCTGTATACATTTGGGAGGAGAAAAAGAAAAGGACAATGAAGATGAGTGAAGGATGCAGGTATATGGTCAGGAGAGACATCCAAGAGAATATATCCAGTGGGCAAGTAAACATAGACCCCAAGACCCGTCAGGGAATGGGAGGAGGAGAGAGAGTTCACAGAGGAAGTCTCTTAGTGGAGAAGTAGGTAGGTAGGTCTGAAGTACACTTGGGGAGTCAAGTGAAGCTGGACTCTCAATCTCTCTGCTCTACCTTGATGTCTGAGGAATTAATGAAGAATCTGCACCGTGCAATCCTTGATCCCTTTAGGACTGCTACACTTGAGAAGATGGAAGTGAGCCTATGTGGCCATCTTGAAAATAACCTCTTAAGGAAGGAGATTGGAGGATTTAGGAGAGGTATCTTCCTGTGTGGCCACAGGAGAGTGTCTCAGGCTTCAGAGAGATGTCAACAAAGATTAAAACCAATCGTGGTCTCAGAGACACATGGTTAGAAAGCAGGCTTCAGAGATAGCATTTACATTGTAATGTAACATAAGCCAAGCCGGAAATAATATCTGCAGAATCACTGTTTACCCAGAGGATGTTTTAAGTTAAAAGCAGGTATTCCTGAACCATATAACTTGAAGTTAATATTTGCTTGGTTTCTTTGTGTTGTTGGACAGATATGTTAGTCTCAATATTCCTTCATTGTTAGTTTTGGTTTTAATTAGCAAACATTTGGGAAAATAATCTGGATAAGATTTAAATTTAACACAAAAAACAGTGAAAGAAAAAAACCAAATCTACAGGACTGAGTCAACAATACATTTTTCAAGGGAATCTTGATCATCTTGTAGGAGAAGCAGAATAGAAAAGCTTCTCCGAAGGAGGTGTATGTAGAGTCTTCAAGAGTGACAACCATTCACATCCCTGTGCCACACGCTGTGCAGGGAATGGGGACAGAGAAATGAGTGCAATGGGAAGTTCACTATGCTCTCAGAGCTCATAGGAAAGGAAGATAATTCAGCATGTCATTACCACAGTCTGAAGAGTGACTATCGGAAAAGCACAAGATGTAGTGAAGGCATGTAATGCAGTGATGTTAGTCTGAGACTCGGGAAAGACTTCCCAGCGGAAGTGATGCCAAGACTGAAACCTGAGGATTGGAGAGCACAAAGCAGGTCATGGAGCATCAGCAGGTGTGCTTGGAGGGAGGAGTAGGCTGAAGAGTTTGTTCAAGGCAGGGAGAGGAAAGCGCTGGATATGAGAGAGAACATGGTGTCTTCGAAGAAGTAAAGTTCAGTGTTGCAGGAAGGTAATGTAAAAGGCAGAGAACAGCACAAGACAATTTTGGTAAGTCAGGCGGGACCCATGCTGTGGAAGACATTATAAACTATATTTAAAAAATTGGACCTTATTATAGGAACAACGAAGAGCCACTGAAAGGTATTCAACAGGAGAGTGATGAAGTCACATTTCACTTTGGATCACTCCGGCAGCAATGTAGATGGAAAATACGCAGCACTAGGAGAACCAGCATCAAGTAAGAGGCGCTGCAGTAGTGCAGGTAAGAAGAGATGGCCTAGGACACAGTTGGAGAAATGAAAACAGACATATTAGGAGGACTAAAATCCAGGAAAAACAGTGGGATTGACTAGGAGGGGTCAGGGACATGGAATCAAGGATATCCTGGACATTTTTAACTTAGGCAACTTGGTAAAAGAATGTATCTTTTACAGATACATTCCAGTGCAGACTTGGCTAGAAGGTAGGAGGGTACTGGGAGGGAAGACAGCAGTTCAGCTTTGCATTCCGTGAGTTCTAAGGGTTGTGGCATCCAAAGGAACGTATCTAGTCACAGTTAAAAATACAAACCTGGGGCCCATGGGAAAGGTTCTGGCCAGAGGTGTCAAGTTGGAGAATATACAGACACTCACTGTATCCTGTGCAATGGGTGAGAAGAATATCTAGGACAGAGCCTGAGAGGCACCTATATTCAAGGAATGCATAAAGAAACAGTAGTGTGCTAAGGGGCCCAAGATGAACTACCAGAGAAGCAGAAGGAAAATCAAGACAATCTACCAAACAAGGAGTCATAGCTAGAGATGATGGAAAGAGCAGAGAGTTGAAGGTGGGAGAATGTTAGGACTGGATCACAAATACAGCTATCTTAAAGCTGGTTTGAATTTCAACCCTAGGAGCTTAGTCTACAGACTGCAGTCCAACTCCCTTCCAGAAGTTACCCACTCAACCTCCACTAAATGTATTTTAACATTCCCAAAGTACACTTTCTAATATTTTAATTCTTAAGCTGAATCATGGGTACTTGAATATGCATTAAGATTTTCTGAATACTTTTCTGGATGTTCAATATAATTCAAAATGAATTTAAAATGGGTATCCAAAACACTGCCGAGTGAAATAAGTCAGGTTATGGAACAGCAAATATAGATATATTTCCATATATGTAGAACTGTAGATTTATATCTGTATAGGTATGCATGTATAGAGAGGTCTAGAAGGATGTTCACTAATTACTTCCATAATGATTATCTCTGGTTACATAGAATCTTCTACCCCACATAGTTATTTAATACCTCTAGGAGAATGGACTGCAGCCATGGCTGGGTTACACAAGGTGAGGTCTTGCTAAACAAACAGACTAAGAGCAACCATAAAAGCTGCCGCTGTGGCAGCATCCTCACTCTTAAAGGCAGAAAGAAGCAGAGGAGATAAAAAGCTTATTTCTTTAAGGGAAGAATGCCCTTCGTATGCCTACAGATCCATAACCCATTCTTCATTCTCTCTGTAACATAGCAATATTCCAAAGGTAAGTTGGCTGGTTTCCCCCTTATTTCTACGTCTACTGCCTCTTTCCTAGTGATCAAGTAATACTTAGGGATCAGTGAGGCTTGGGCTCAACTCCAAACTGACCACCCACTTGCAGCATGATTTTGGACAATTTATACCTACAAGTCCATTCCCTTGTATTGTAAAATGGGAACAATTTTTAAAACCAAACAGAGTTGATTTGAGAATCAAAGCAAGTCAAACATGCAAAACACTGAGAGTAACATTTAGCACATAGTAAGTGTTCAATAAGTGAGAGTTGTTTTGTATTTCTTAGAACGAGAACACAACACATCAAGGTTGGGATCCAAAACACTCCCCCCATCATGACCAACCACCATCCCCACCGCCAACCTGCTCCCATCTTGAACTGCTTTTCCCACTGTTTTTGAACCTTCAGCCCCAGTCTTCAAACCACTCCCCTGAGCTCCACCATCCACACTCACCTATTTAGCATATTGGACTGGTAGATTCTCTTCTCATGGGTGTTGTAACAACTGCTTTTGGGCTCAGGGATGAAGCTGTGCTCGGATAGCATGTCGGAAGCAGCAGTGGTGATTATGGCAATTCCATCTCTCACTCTGGCAGGGAGGCCATAGTCCCACTCATCGTATGACACAGAGATAAGCCCAGTAGGGAACTCTGAGGGCACTGTGTCAGTATCCCCTGCCACCAGACTGGGCACAATCCATGTGTAGCCATAGCCGGTCAGCCCTACTGAGTTAGCCACTTCAAAGATGTAGGTGGCTTCTTCCTTAGTACAGTAAAGAAGAATGATGGGGCTTTGGAGTTTCTTGAGCTGATTCTGGATCTTGGAATCTCCATCATCCAGGGACATGTCCAGCAGGAGGACTTCCTCCAGTTCCCAGCCCACGAAGCTATTCTCGATGGTGCTGCGGATCTTGTTCACAAAGTCCTGGTAGCCAGGAAAATAGGTAGTCACAATAGAAAAGATGTACCAGTCATATTCTTCCATGATGTTGAGCATTACAGAAGCTTGCTGTTCAATTGATGGGCCAAACTGGAAGAACATGGAGGAGTCATCCTAGAATAGTAAAAGTGTAAAAAAAAAAAAAAAAGAGAGAGAGAGAAAAAATCAAATCAAAGATGGTAATGGAGATTTTGAACCAATTGGGCACCAAGGTTTGTGTTTGCTATTTACTTTATCATATGTGCCCTTTAAATTTTCAATAACATAGTTTTAAATATTTGAATCATAGACATTTGTTATACTTTTCTTCCTAAAGTTATCTCCTAGACTTTACAGAAAATCAACATAGGTCTATACTCTTCTTGTCTGAAATACTAGGGGCCACTGCTAGAGCCCAGGCTAGCTTACCATAATTGATGATGCAAAACATAGGAAGAGTCACACAATATGAAATAAAGACTCAAAACAGCCTCATTTCAGTTCAGGTCAGGTTTTGCTGTCAAAGGAGTTGTACAAACACATACATACATGCTCACACAGGCATATAAACATACACAGATACTTTCTGTTTCTTGTGGCTTTTGAGTTTCTTGATTGTGGAAGTGTATTAGTCAGTTACAGAGCGAATAATCCAAAATGTCACCAATTTATATTTAAACCTATCTAAGGAGGCAGTGTAGACTCATTGGCCCAGAAGCTAGATGGTGCTCAGGTACAGATATCAGGGAGAAGCACTTGGAGTACAAGATTGAATCCATTTATATTATGTAAACATATAACTGGTATTTATTTCTTTGACTTTTTTTTAAGAGATGGGGCCTCGCTATGTTGCCTAGGTTGGTCTTGAAATCCTGGGTTCAAGTGATCCTCCCACTTTGGTCTTCCAAAGTGCTGAGATTACAGTGTGAGCCACATAATATTAAATTAATAGCACATTTAGTTTGCTCTCTAACTGCTGTTCTGATAATAATCAAGTTTGAGTAAGGTCCAAACAGTATACCTAAGCTACAAGTTAAAATTACTGTTATTCAAGCTCCTATATGATTAGGCTTTATTTTAGAGCAGCATTTAGAAGAGTATTCTTTCTCTGCCTACACAACACCACAGATCTCGTTCTGACTTGTGTATCACACACACCCCTCTGTCAATTCTGAGCACATTCTGATGTTTCCTTCCTTTCCAGGGAGAAACCATTTTAAATTTCTCCCATTTTAAGCTGTGTTTCACCTGCTGTTCAGAGATGTCAAGCCCTGCATTTTATCTTTACCTTAAAGCTAGAAAAATCTGAAACCACAAAATGAACACCCCTCAGTCCCGTCTTTCTCTCTCAGTCCATTTTCCCTGATTTCCTCCTGGGTAATGGTATCTCTTTTCCTGCTCTGTGCCCCCCTATCTTCTATCCCATGGTTCATCTTCATTTTATAACAACCCAGGCTAACAAAATTGTGTCTTTCTCCAGGGGGCAGTTCCTTTTTATCCCCTGACGAGAGCTTTAAAGTACAGTTACAAGAGACCTGGGCTTTTAAACAAAATTATATAGTGATTTCTTAGTTCAGGAACATATTGTTGTACAGCTGAGAAATTGCTGAGTGTTTTTTGGGCACCCACTATCAAAAAGAATACAGGCTGGGAAACATCCAGCTGGTGTCCAAAAATCCTGATTCGGCAACGAGAGCTGCCAGCCCTCAACTCTGCCAGAGATGTTTGCTTCTTGTGGCTTGAACTTTTCACATTTTCCACAGGCTATCCAGAATGAAGTAGTGGGTGCTTGGTTGTTGGGAGTGATTCTTCCTGTTAAGGGTGAAATGGTGCCTACCATAATTCGCTTCTCTGGACTTAAGCATACCATTGAAGAGGAGCCTCATGGAACCATGGAATTCTGAAAAGTAGGGAGAGTGGGGCACCCAGGATGGCTAGGTAGGAAAAAGGGAATTAAATCAGGATAGGATGATTCTATCGTGTATGTCCATTTCAAACCCTGGTCAGTATCTGTTCCTGGCCACTTCCTACAACATAAGTACCACTCTTTAGGTACAGGTGACCTTGTCTTTATGTTATAAGATGAAGTGGTGTTATGGTCTAAATGTTTGTGTACCCCCCAAATTCATATGTTAAGATCAGGAGTATCAGGAGATGAGGCCTCTAGGAAGGTGACAGTATCAGGAGATGAGGCCTCTAGGAAGGTGATTAGACCATGAGGGTGGAGTGCTCATGAATGATATTAGTTCCCTCACCTTGCCCCTTCCACCACATGAGGACATAGCAGGAAGGTGCTATCTATGACCCATGAATGAGCCCTCACCAGACACCAATTCTACTGATACCTTCATCCGAAATTTCTTAGCCTCCAGGTCTGTTGCTTATAAGCCACCCAGTTTAAGTATTTTGATATAGCAGCCTAAAAGGACTAAGACCAGTCCAAGACTTGTCAGGAGCCTCCAGAGAACCACAACAGGAAAGTAGGGTCAGTGGTCAAGCAAATCACCTAGATTGAGTCACTTTAAAAAATATATTCATTTGTTTTTCTTGTACTTACAGTTAAAGGGAATTCTGAGGATTTTCCGATAAGAAATATTATCACATGAGCTTCTACAACCCAAGTGGTTATAGCAAGTAAAAAACCTTTCAAATATACCTTAAGAAGTCCAGGCAGGCTGGGCACGGTGGCTCAAGTCTATAATCCCAGAACCTTGAAAAGCCGAGGCTAGAGGATTGCTTGAGCCCAGCGGTTCAAGACCAGCCTGGGCAACTTGGCGAGACATTGTCTCTACAAAATACCAAAAAATTAGCTGGGTGTGGTAGCGCGTGCCTGTAGTTCTGGCTACTTGGAAGGCTAAGATGGAAGGATCACCTGAACCCAGCAGGTCGATGCTGGAGTGATTGTGAGCGTGCCACTGCACTCCAACCTGGGCAACAGAGTGAGACTCTGACTTCAAAAAAAAAAAAAAAGACATCCAGGCATGGAAGGAATCTCAATTGCAACAAAGTAAGTCTACATATTCTGTGACAGATCTTATCTAAGAAAGTTCTTGAATGCATGCAAGGTTCATACACAAGGAGTGACCTCCCAAAAAAACCCTGGAATTTATTTATTAAAAATTGTGTATCTATTATTACATGTATAAACTTTAGTCACCTTAAAAGTACTCTCAGCTGGGCTCGGTGACTCAGCCTGTAATCCCACGCTTTGGGAGGCTGAGGTGAGTGGATTCTGAGCCCGCAGGTTTGAGACCTGCCTGGGCAACTTGGTGAGACCTCATCTCTACAGTAAATCAAAAAAATTAGCCAGGCGTGGTAGCGCGCACCTGTATTTCCAGCTACTCGGAAGGCTGAGGCAGAAGGATCACCGAAGCCCAGCAGGTCGAGGCTGCAGTGGCTGGGAGCAGCCACTGCACTCCAGTCCGAGTGACAGAGTGAGACTCCAACTCAAAAAATAAAAATAAAAAATAAAAATAATTTAAAAAGTACTCTCTGTTTGATGTAATACACCTATTGAGACACTTTTTCCACTGCTCAAAATAGTATTTGAATTAGTCAGTTTTGATGCCTTTAGTGCTTCTGCTGTTTTTTGTTTTACCTCTTCCATATCAACAAAACATTTCCCTTTGAGGACTTTTTTCATCCGGGGAAACAAAAAAAAGATCAGGTGCATAGGAAGGGTGGGGCATGGGGTCATTCTGTTTTTGGTCAAAAATTGCTGAACACTCAGAGCAGTATGAGTAGATTTTTCATGTACATCACCCATCATGCAATGGGCAAACGTGTTGAATCTCCTCCCAAAAATTCACTGAAGCAGAATGCAGCCTCTCACAACAACACTAGCTGATATACTGATGCTGATGTGTTCCTAGAACACTTTCATCTAGCAGGAAAGCCTGTACTACAAGAGGCCTGCCCTCCAAAAAATAATTCCAGGATTTTCTGGGTCCCTGTTCATACGGTGCAATCATGGCAAGACGTCCATAGTAAATGAACTCATGCTAATAAAATTGAATTTAAGAGAAGATCAGTCTATTAAATACCAACTTGACTTCCCCTCTCTTAGGCTTCTCTTAATACTATGACACAATTTTAAATGACTTGTAAAAAGACTGCTAGCTACTATGTGAAAGAAACCAATATATGGTGAGAAGAAGAAAACAGAAAAATTAATATGGCACCATCATCTCCCACCACATCCTTATCTTACTTTCTAAGTCTGTTGTCCTCTACAATCTATTTTTTTCTGACTCCTCTGCTCACCTCCAATGCCCAGCTCCACCATTTTATTTTGCCAATCCTTCAATAAATCAGGATGCTTTATATAATCATTTTATCTGACACCCAAAGGAGGCTAAGGAAGCCAAACAGAAGTCAAGAAACAGAGTAAGCTGGGGCCAGTGTTTCCCGGTAGAATAAGTAGTCCCGTATTATTAATTTAGTTGACATGTCCATCTGGTGTAGAGTGATTGGAATGGGACAGCTCTTCTTCAACAAAGCTTTGGGCTAACGATATGTTGCAAACAGTGACAAGCTTTGCAAATGATGGCCATAGCCACAAATCAAAGGGCAATCTTCACGTGTGCATGGAGTGGAAAGGACTGGTGGCCACACATTCATCTTTGCAGACACCCAGCATGCACTGTGATTACCACAAGTCATCGAGGATGAAGGACACAGATATAATTCTGCTGGCTGCTTGCTATGTTTCTCCACTTACAGTTTTACCTCCTAATGTCATTATAAAATGTTGACATGCAGAGGGTCCTTGGAGCAACTCCTCTTAGGGAAGATTCCCAATCAAATGTATTGCATGAATATACTTCTTCAACTTGCCTTGACAGCATTTTAACGCAGTCCTGTATAAAGGGCCATCTTAACTGAGAAAAGCAATTAGCACAGGAAAGGTAGATTTGTACATTAGACTCCCCACAGTCTAGAATCTTTTTGGGGCACTCCCATCACTTTGATGTTCATGGTGTTTATTTGCTAATAAGAAGAAACAAAAAGAAATGTTTTTCATCTTATTATCTGCCTCAGAAAATAATTGCCTGAAGAATTAGCAGTTTGTGAGACTCCTTTTCTGTATCATCCAGAACCCCTGCTGATCCACTTTAGAAATAAGGTACTG